CTGTCCCTCACCAAGGACCCTATGCGGTCTTGGTCCCAGACCCTGGCCCACACCAGGGGACATGCCTGACATATTCTGAACCCTGCACGCCAGGCCCCACAGAATGTATAACTCGGGACAAAAACATGACCCGAGATACACACAAATCACACTGAGTGTTGCACGCACATTGCTCCTCCTCAAAACTGGTTTGTGAGCTCCTTGAAGACAGAGAGAGCGCCTCACCCCAAAAGCCCATATGTTGCCCACAACAGACAGTTGGTAAAAGCTTGATTAATTGAATGCCGAAATACGCCTGTACACACATGGGGAAGGCCACACACACAAACACCCAGATCTGCTTACTGCTCCCACCCACCCCAGGAACCTACCAATATGGGTTGTCTCCCTCCACCCTTCACCTCCACCCTGCCCTGGCCCATTTGGCCTTCCTGTCTGAGGCAACCTCCTCCCCAGCCCACACCCCCACTTCCTCCCCACTGAGGTAACCACTTTACCTACTCCCCCTGAGGCCTCCAGCCAGGGATGCCCTCTTGCCTGCAGCCCCTGGCGCCCTCTGCTCTGGCCACATGTGTTCTCCCCCTTCTCCTGACCCAGGACCTGGCCAGGGGCCTGGCGGCAGAGGCCAAGGGCTGCAAAGCAGCTCAGGCTGCCCGGGCACCACGCTGACTCCGGAAGGAAAACATTTGCCCAGCTCCGAGGGGCATGTGGACGTGGCAGGGGGCCTGGGACACAGTCGTGGGCAGAGCGGAGGCATGGCCTGAGACCACTGGGCCGTCTCTCCTCCCCTGCTGCCCATCCCATCCCCTCCCAGGCCAGGTCAGGGCACCAGGCAGGCCCGAGATGGGAAGAGGGTTCTCTGGCAGGCAAGTCCTGGCTTGTGCCCGCTGCTGCCCGAGCTGGGCCATCCCTGCTGAGTCTGTGTCCAAGCCTGAGCGTGCCTTCTCCCTCTGCTGCCTGCACCACGGGCTTGGTGTGGCTGTCTTTACAGAGTGCCTGGTCTGATCCTGTGTGAACACCCGTGTGAACGCCCGTGTGCCCCGCATTAGCACTACTTCCCGAACATCTGCCCTGTTCAGTGCTGGGTGCTGTCCGCACACAGCTCGGGGCTCTTCTGTGGCCCGGGGCCCAAGCCCATGTGACATTGTGCCCTTGCGAGGGTCTTAGACCAACACAACACGGCTCTGCACACGGAGGTGTCTATGAGGCTGTTTGTTTTGTGGGTGTGAAGATTGTGTCACTGCCTGTGTGTCGGTGCACCATGTCCCAGTGTGACGCCGCGTGGGTGACTGTTATTCACCTTCAGTGACTTTCTGGATGACAGCATGGTGTGGTATGTGCCCTGTGTACTTCATCCTCTGCTGGATGCGCGTCTGGGCTGTGTCGTGCTATGTGCTGGGGGGCCCCAGGGGTCCTCCGGGGGTGTGTGTAGGAGTACGGAGGGGGGAATGTCCTGCAGGTCCGCCTGGGCTGGGCTGTGGGCATCTGAGCCTAGGGTCCCCAGCAGCAACCCCTCCCTGTAGTTCCTTCTTCTAGAGCTAGAATCCAGCGTCCGGTCCTTCCCACTCCCGTTCAACACTATGGGACAGACCCATTGGTCAATGTTCCAGTCCCAGACCCACTCCCACCTGCCCCGACCCCTAAGGCCCCAGAGGGTACCCAGGAGACCAGGTGGCAGTGTCTGCCCCTTGGGACTCTGGCAAGGAACCCTGGCCCTGAGGTGTGTTACCTGTAGGGGTCCAGTATGGATCAGAACCTTCGCAGGGTGACCTGGGCTCTCCTGAACTCCTGGCAGCTGAGTTTCAGAGCTGAACTTGGGGAGCAGAGCAGAGAGGGACTAAGGCTGACTCAACCAGCAGCCCAGAGGAGCTGCCCCAGAGGAGGAGGAAACACCTTCTGAGCAGGGCCTGCTGCAAAACCGGGCCTGGACTCCCGGCACCCTAGGGGTGCACCTAAGCCTTGGCTTTCAGAGATCTCCAAGCTGATCTGCTGGGTGGGAGACACCAGGGGCTTGGCCCCAGCTCTGCTGCCCACTTATTCTGTAACCGCTGTGAACAGCACAGGCACCAACCCCTGAGAGCCTCGGTGGCCTCATCCCTAGAGTGGGTGGCCGCCCCACCCCGCCTGCAGAGTTGCTGAGAGGAACTTGCTTTGAAAGCAAGGTTAGAAATCTTTCTAAGAAGCAGGGTCAAGGAAGGACTGCAGACCACGGTCAAAGGACCCTAAGTAGAGTTTCTCCTCTGCCACTGTGTGACCTTAAGCAGGTGTCTCCACCTTGCTGAGCTGCAATTTCCTCCTATGCAAACTGGGGGTGGAGGTGTCAAGGGCCAGAAAGGGCCCAGCCAGCATAGAGAGGTACCAGGGGGCCCCCCTCCAACAGTCCCTTTTGACAACCACTGTCCCTCCCTGTCCACATGTGCCTCTTGGGCGGTGCTAGCCCCAGCCACACTGCTCTGGACTCTAACTCTGTATCCTCCACCCCCAACCAAGTCTTCTCTTATGTCCAAGTTCCCACTGCTACGAACGGCCCCCCTGCTGCCAGTGCCCAGACTGCCCCCTCTCCCGTCCCCAGCTACCCCCCATTGCTGTTGCTCCCGCACTGCCCAGGTGTTAGTACCAGCCCAGCCTCTTCTGGAACCTTCCTCCTCCCTATCTCCTGGCCTCCACATAGCCCCTCTAGTTCTGCTTGTGCAAGGCTGTTGGAGGGGTCTTTCAGTGTCCTACTTCGATCTGTCATTCCTCAGCTCTGGAAGGTGCTGGCAAACAACCAAGTTGACCCTGTGGCTCGTTCACAAAAGTGCTCCCAACCAGTCCAGCCTCCCTTAGACACTTTGACTAACTCTTGGGCTGCACCTACTCCTCAGACTGACTCCCAGGCCCCCCCATAAGTGTGGCTCTGATGTCCTTGTCTCCCACATCCTTAGAAGCCTACCCAAAGACTCTGCTTCCGTTGGTGCTCCCTAGTCCCCAGCTGCAGGAGTGCTCTCCCCACTTGCCGCCGCCCCTCCCAGGGCTCCCCTGCCTCCAGGATGTGCACTGGGCTTAGGTGAGAAGGCAGGAACCTGGAGGCCAACAGGTCTGGCTTAAACTTCTGGCTCTGGTGCATGGTCCCTGGTGGGCCTGGATCAGTGACAATCTCTATATGCCTCACTCTCTGCCTTTATAAAACAAAGGCAGTGACAGCAGCCATCTCCTGGGACTGCTGCAGGGGAGTGTCCCCTGGCTTGCCTCCAGCATGCATTCTCCCTTCTCTATGGTCACAGTAGCCAGCCCTTTGGAAAACAGCCTCTCTCTGCTTTACCCCTTGTGCTCGGCCACAGCGTGGCTCTGAGTGGGGGCTCTGGAAGTAGGTTAGGCTACTGGACTTGAACATGGGTCCACTCTTCCTACCTCTGTGCCCTTGAGCAAATCACTTTACCTCTCTGTGCTTACTTCATCTATAAAATGGGGATGGTAGCACTGACCTCACTGGACTGTGGTGAGGATAAGTGACACTTTATTATGAGGCCTAGCACACACTAAGCACTCAGCCACCTCTTTATATCTTGTTTCCCCAAGACAAATTTAAAGTTCTGCTGGAGGGCACCTGGGTGGCTCAGTTGTTAAGCATCTGCCTTCAGCTGGGGTCATGATCCCAGCAAGTGTCCTGGGATCGAGTCCCATGTTGGGCTTCCTGCCCAACCATCTGCTTCTCCCTCTTCCTCTGCCCTCCCCTCCTCAGCTCCTGCTCTCTCTCTCTCAAATAAATAAATAAATAAAATCTTAAAAAAAAAAAGTTCTGCTGGGCGGGATCAAGCCTTACTACTTTTGTCTGCCCACTTTGCTGTGGTTGTCCTTCATACTGGAACTTTCTCCCTTCAGCCAACTCTCAGATGAGTCCCTGTATGCAAAATTGATTTTTGAAAATGGAATTGCTACGAAGGGACGGGAGTGGGGCGCTCTGTCTTGTCCTGGAGAAACTCCAGCTCCAAAGGGTGATAAGCTTATAGGCCCCTCCAGGGCCATGGGGGCCAGCTGCTACAGCTGTCCTCAAGGCTGCCGTCAGGATGGACACCAAAGATCCTCGGGATTCAGAGACCAAATCCTTTGTGAGTTCAACTAAAATGACACATGACATAGAGCAGGGTTAGGAAAGATGTCACCAAGGAAGAGGCTTTGGAGCCAAGTCTTGGAAAGGAGGGCCATGATTTCAACAGGTGGAAAGCAAAGGACCAGAAATGAGCAGGTTCTGCTGTCTTGCTGTAGAGCGGGGCCATGACCTGATCGCTGGGGGTCAGCACGGGGAACCTAGCAATATGACCGATGGATATGGCAGAGGCCAGGGGCTCCGGTGATCCTCCTGGCTTATCCCAGACGGTGCAGCCCTGGCTGAGGGGACAGGTCAGGGTGCTGGTCTGCCCAGCCCCACCTCCCAGTGCTCTGCCAGTTCTTCCCAACAAGCAGTGTGGGAGGGTTTCATACTCACTTGCCTTGAGAAGGCTCTGGGAGAGTGGATCTGGAAGGGTGGGGAGCTCCCACAGCCTGGGCCCGGGGCAGGAGGTACCTGAGGGAAGCGGACATCCCCGTAAGCTCTGCCTGAGGTAGGCACTGGACGAGGACTCAACCATGGCTTTGTCAATCAGGGCCCCCGCCAAGGAGAAAACAAGGACAAGACACCTTCTGGAGTCAAACTCTTTATTACCCTGCCCAGGGAGCCCCACGCAAGGAATCCGTGGAGCAGGGGTGAGGGGCAGCACACGCCCTTTCCACAACTTGAAGTTAAGGGGAACTGTGGCAGGTGGGAGGAAACAGCTCCCCTCCAGCTCCCTGACGGCACTGGCTGCCGTGATGCCTAGCCCCCAGCATCCCAGACCCATGCGGCCATCACCAGTGCGCCTGGGCAAGGCCCATGCCTGGGGCTGGAGCCAAGCTCTGTTTACATTGCTCTGGTCTACAGGGGGTCACTCTGGGCATGTCAGCATCACTCATCTCCCTGGGCTGGCTGGGGGAGCCCCGACCCCCAGGGAGAAGAGGAAGCAGGGTCTGCAGGGGCTGGAGGACTCCAGGAGATGGCGCACGAACTGCCCCTCGTGCAGCTTCTGGTAGACATCCGACTGGGGGCCCACCCAGTCCTATTAGACCATTCTAGAGACTAGTGGTGAAGGTCCCAGGGCAGCTTAGCTTATGGAAACTTCTCAGTGTACTCCACCCACCCTGGGACCAGAGCCCTGGCAGGCGGCTGCGCTCCAAATCCAGCTCTGGCCCCTGTGCGGCCTTGTCCGATGGTCCAAATGTGCTCCCCTTCCCCACCGGGCACTGGGCTGAGGCAGAGGGAGCCCAGTGGGCAGTGGCAGGAGCAGCTCTACAGAGGCAAGCTAAGGCCTTTCCAACAGGTGACCAAAGAGGGTACCTCAAGGGCGGGGGTCACAAGTCTGGGAAGGAGGGGACAGGGAGCTTCTCAGTGACCAGTGAGACACAACAAGCAAACACCCCCCGCCCCATGTTCATCTTCAGCCATTGTTCAGTCCATCTGGCCCAGACCACTGGGTCAAAACCGGCAAACCCATCCCTGCCTTCTGGGGTGAGAATAAAAAATCTGGAACCAAAAGGGGTGGCGACTGCCTTCTCAGGAACCTGGTGGGCTCAGGGCCAGGAGGCAGCCATCACCGAAGGTTGAAGACGAGGCTGACAGTTAGGATGATGCCCAGGAGGAGGACGAATGGCAGCCAGGTCTTCACGAAGGCCCCCACGCTGACAGGGAGGAGAGATGGGAGTCCAAATGGGAAGGGCCCGAGGAGTGGGGTGTGTTTCATAGAGCCCTGTCAGCCCACCAGCCCAGATGGGGCTGTTGCCCCTAAGGAAGCTCCCGGAACCACTCCCTCACCCCCAGACTTGGTCAGTCAAGGGAACAGGCCCAGCCTGGCTTGACACCGATGATGCAGAGTCACCAGTTACAGTCCTGGGCAGGGGCTGCTCCAGGTTTCTGGCAGACATCTGACACCACACTGGGCAGGCACGAGACGCACCCACCCCTCTCTGGGCCTCACCGCTCCCTCCACAATGAGCTCTCTCTGGGGAGGTCTTGAGTCTCGGTGTGGAAGCCCTCTAAAGAGGCCCTCTGGGAAGCGAGGGGTGGGCAGGAGTCAGCACAGTGCTGTGGCTGGAGCGGAGGGGCTGGGAGTCAGGGCTCTGCCTCAGTGTCTGTGTGACTGCGGTTACAGTCTTCTCTGGGGACCGCTAAAGGACTTTCGGAATTAAAAAAAAAAAAAGGACCCCTAAGAGTCTCTTTTTCAGAAGCTCTTAATGATGCATGTGGCTAGTGGGAGGTCTGGAGAGGTGGCCGGTGGGGGTCGGGGGGGAACCAGGCCCATGCTGGCGCCCAGGTGGGTGCATCACTCAAGCTCTCTGAGTCCCCTTACCTGAAAACTGGAATAATGTCTTTGACCTTACAGTTTGAGGCTGTGGCTTCAAAGGTCCTCCCAGGCCACCACGGAGGCCACCTGCCCAGAACCCTGCCTCTGATGAGGAAGAGTAGGAAGGTAATCCCGTGGGGTCAGTTACCAGCCCTTCCTTCAAGGGTCTCCATGTTCGCCTGACCTGTGCACGGGGCTCTGAGGGCTCACAGCCTCTCCGAGGGGCCACAACCATCAGCTCTTTTACCAAGGGCAGCTGCAGCTTAGAGAGGCCAAGGCAGGTGGCTGAGATCACATGGGTCTGGGGTTGGACCCAGGTGAAATCCAGGTGGAGCTGGATTTCAGCACAGTCACCTTCCTCTCCACCAGGAACTCAGCTAGTTATTCTAGAACCTTCATGGCTCCAACCAGCATCTGCTTTGGCCCTGTTGGCTGCAGAACTCCACAAAGGGCCCTGACAGGATCCTCGGGAGAGTGCGGCCCCAGGGGTGAGCGGTGGCTGGACGGCTTACCTGACGTACTTCCCGTACAGCAGGCAGAAGAAGCAGAGTGTCACCATGTTCCAGTTGGTGCTGTTGTTATAGCGCATCAGGTTCAAGGCCAACGCCACATGTGAGTGGCAGTTGTCACAGCAGAGACTGTGCTAGAGACGTGGGAAGGGCTGCGTCAGGCTGGGTAGTGGGGGACCTTCCATCCCAGGTCCTGCTATGGGGAATGGCCCACCTACCATGCGGTGCTTGTACTCCTCGGAGGCGTCGTGCACAGCTGTGTCCCACGCATTGGGCCCGCTAGCGTACACCTGAGCAGGGTCCAGCTTCCAGTACCTGGGAGGAGAGAGGGGGTCCTGGGCACTGGCTCTCCTCTCTTACCATCACTCAGCCTCTCAAATGTTCCGGACGCCTGCTCTGTGCAGGGTCCTGAGAGGGGGCGGAGGCTGCAGGGGTGAGAAAAGCCCAGGGCAAGAGGCACACAGTGGACACCTGTCACACAGCGCCATGTGGATGCTGGGGAAGGCAGGAGACAAACTCATTCGGGGGGTTGTGAGAGGCTTCTGGGGTGACATCTGCATCTCGTGTGAAGGAAGAGTGGTTACCTGTGTCCAGCGGAGGGCGGGGCATGCACAGAGGGAGAGTCACAGACTTATGGGGTTCATACGGGGGTGGGGTGGGGGTGGGGGATGGGGTGGTTAAGAGTCTGGGCACTGCTGGAGGAGTCAGAGGGAGGAAGATGCAGGCAGGGCCACATGCTGGGGGACTTGAATGTCACCCAGAGTTTATCCATAGCACAAGTTCTCTGCCCCCCCTCCCACATGGAAGACTGGGGTGAGCAGGAGAAGAGCCGGTGGGGCTAAAAGCTCACAGATCTCAAGCTAGGTGCGAGCAGCTGTGCTAACAACGGAGTGCCCAGCGGGGCTCCAGAAGTGAATGCTGGGAGGGCAGGGCGCCCTCTGGCTGCTCCGTGGGGAACGGCTTGGATATGGGGCTGCACAGGGGTTCCTGCCTGGAAACGGGTGCCCAGAAAACTGACCCCAAAAAGCAGCCTGGCACAGACATCCAGCCCAGAGGTCCACGGCCAACATCTCCGCCTGCCTGTGGAAGTCAGCAGGGGGCGGGGAACCAGTGCAGGCTGTTTCACTGCGCAGGTACCACCTCCTCCCTGGGGCCTGACTTGGCTGGGGCAGCCTCAGACCACTGGGACTGTTCTCAGCATACCAATGACTAAGACCTTGTCACCAGGCCCACAGCTGAGTGGGCCCCCAAGACAGAAGAAATAAAGGGGTGCCTGGCTGGCTCAGTTAGCGGAGCATGAGACTTTTGATCTTGGGGGTTGTGAGTTCAAGCCCCATACTGGGTATAGAGATTACTTAAAAAAAAAAAAAAAAAAAGAAAAAGGAAGAAAGGGGGGGAGAGAGGGAGGGAGACAGACCAAAGATTCCAAATACCCAAACATAGCAATAGCTCCCAGAGGGTCTGACTACTTTTATTCTAACCAGAACTTTCCAGCTGAGTTCCAAGCAGTGCCTCCTTTACATCTTAAATGGCTTGTTCACTCCCGAGGGGCAGAAGAATCTAGATTTTGGAATGAGACATCTAGGTGTGAGTCTCAGCTCTGCCACTTCCTATGTGATCATGACCAGCCCTTTCTCTTTCCTTATCCTTCCAATGGAGCTGCATACAACCTCGCAGAGCTGAGGCAAAGTCTAGATGGTCTGTGGGTAAAAATGCAGCCAGGACCGGGGCAGATGCTTGGCATGGGTGCTATGCTCTGGTGGACCCTGGCTCTCCCGGCCCTCATCCCATCCTCAGGGTGCTGATTCCAGCCGCATCCCAGAAGGCCCGGCCCTAGGGCTTATCACACGGGTGCTCATCACTTACTTGGCAGGCTTCCCGAAGGCCATGTTGTCTTCCTGCAGAAGGACAAGAGCAGAAGTGAGTGGAGAACCTGGCAGACAGATGTGTCCGTGGTGCAAGTGCAGTGACTAAGAAGGTGGTAGGTCAGGGGGACAGAAGAGGAGTCTGTACCCCGCTCTGGGGCTGGCACAGCATCTAAAGGGCCAGCAGCAGCTTTTCTGGGAGAAGGTCACATCACAGCAGGAGTGCCCAGGGTGCTGCACCCAGAAACCAAAGACGGAGTGCCAGCCATGACAGCCCCTCTGTGTGGCTCCCAGGTACTTCTCTCACCCTCTGGTCCTCATTTGCTCCAAGTTCTCTGGCCAATCTCTGAGTGATCACAGGGAGGCAGTTTCCTTTGTGGTACAAATGACAACACCCTCTGACCTCCTGACCTGACAACAGGGCCCACGTGGGGCTCTTGTGTCTGGCAGCCTGACCGCATCATTCAGAGGAGGCCTGGTGGTTGAGGAGGGGGCTCGAGAAGCTTCCAATGACGGACATGTTTCACCCAAGCCCTGGACCTCCTACATAAGGGTCGGGGCAGATTCTGGGTTCAGAATCAGGAAGACCCAGCTGACAGAGCAGGTCAAAGAGAAACTACCATAAAATATACAAAAGACCTTCGTCATGACATCTAATAATATAAACAAGCTGGTACCATCACGGCTCCTCATTCCAGCCTCTCACGGAGATGAAGCTGCACCCCAGGGATAGGCAGCATGCTGCCTGCTTGTCGGGAGCTGGCCCCCTGCCCCCACCTCAGGCACATCCCCAGGAAACACACCTAAGAACATAGCTGGTTCGTTCTAGAAGCCCCACCCCATCTTCTCCATGGCCACACCCAGGGAACCACATCAGCCTCCCCGGTGTCCCCACCTTGTGACTCCCACCTTCTGAAGGTCCAGATGTGGTTCCTGGATGGTCTGACTCTCCACTCTTGCCTCTAATCCCTACCCATGTCTTGGTACCCCAGGGGTGGGCTAAGGACTGGGTCAGTTACTTAAGAATCCTTCTGGCCACACTGCCCTCCTGGCCTGTCCTGGAGGTAAGAGAAGGGGGAAAGGGGTCAGACACTGGTGAAGAGCAGAGGGCCAGGGCCAGGACTGTCTGGTATTTGCATTCTCCTGGGGAGACTGGAAAGCTGCCTCAGGCCAGCCAGGCCAGCCTCCCACTGAAGCCTCGGAACCAACCAGAGCAGGGCAGAATTGGAACTCACCGAGACAAAGTAGGGGCCAGCAAAGTCCCGAATGACTCCCGTGGATGTGCAGATGCCCATGTGGCCGATGATGGGGAAAAACCACCTGTAAAAAAAAGGACAGAGAAGGGGCAAAACTTAGGGGGTCTTCGACTGGTTAGACAGATGCTGGGGACACTCCACCCAGTGTGAGACTACGTGAATATAACGTCGTGCAGTGAGTGCCAACTAGGGTGGCCGGGGAGGGCTGCGGAGGCACAGACGAGAGGCGAGGGCAAATGAATAGCACAATGGAACACCACTGCACCCCACAGAATGGCTACCCCCAAAGGATGGTAACATGGGGTGTGGAGAGGATGGGGGGCAACTGCAATTGTTTCTACTGCTTTCAAAACTAGCAATTACTTTATGCCTCAGCAAACCCACTTCAGAGTGTACGCCCAGCAGAAACAAATGCTTATGTCCACCAATGCCAAGAAAATCCATAGGACCTCCGTTCAACATCGCTGGAAACATTTGTCAAGGCTCACTGAACCGCACACTTAAAATGTATGCACTTCATTGTATATACAATACATCCCAATAAAGTTGAATTTTCCCCCAAGTTTTTATCTCAATTCCAGCTAGGTAACACACCGAGCAATATGAATTTTGGGTGCAGGATTCAGTGATTCATCACTCGCGTGCACCAGCCGGTAACATCACAACTGCCCAGCTTAGTACCTGGCACCTGTTCAACTCCCACCCCCCCAATAAAGTTGATTTTAAAAATAACTAGAAATAATCCATATGTCCAACAAGAGTAAAATGAGTAAGTAAATTAGGTAGAGTCATGAAATGAAATAATACGTAACAATGAACAAAGAACACACTTCGGCTACATACATCACACATTCTCTCAGACATTAGGCAGTGAAAAAACCTTCCACAAAAGTCCATGCATAAAACTCCGCTTATATGAACTACAAGAAGAGGTAAAACTAACCTATGGTGCTCAAGGGCAAAAGAGGGGTAATTTCTTTGGCAGAATTAACTGGCACAAGGGAGTCTTTCAGGTACTGGAAATGTTATCTTCACCTGGGTGATATGAATATATATCTATATATATATGCAAAAATTCACTGAGCCATATACCTAATATTTGTCCACTTTGCAGTGTATGTTATATCTCAGCAAAAGAGTTAAAAAATAGGGGTGCCTGGATGGCTCAGTGGGTTAAAGCCTCTGCCTTCTGCTCAGGTCATGATCTCAGGGTCCTGGGATGGAGCCTGGCGTCGGGCTCTCAGCTCAGCGGAGAGCCTGCTTCTTCCAGTACCCCTGCCTAAAAAAAAACTCCCTAAAAAAAAAAAGGGGGTTAAAAAAATTAAAGAGTGAGGGGGGAGGCATTTAAACCAATCTGTGGGGGCGCCCGGGTGGCTCAGTCCTGGGATGGAGCCCTGCAACGGGCTCCTTGCTCAGTGGGGAGTCTGCTTCTCCTTCTCCCTCTGCCTGCTGCTACCCCTGCTTGTGCTGTCACTCTCCCTCTCTGTCAAATAAATAAATAAATAAAATCTTAAGGAAAAACAACAACAACAAAAGACTAATCTGTGTTGGGGGGGAGGAGGGTTTCAGGGACAGCTGCTTAGAGGAAATGAGGAAGTTAACAGTAGGTGGAAGGACATCGATGAGGACAAAAGCTGAGGACAAAAGCACGGTGCATTCCAGGAACTTAAAGTCCAAATTAAAAAAAAAAAAACACAAAATCTCAATTGGGCCCCAATAAGCAAAATATATAGAAGCCCCTGATCTGTCTGTAGCATGGGAACCAGGGCGCTACAGGGCCTCGGTGCTGAACAGACTGGTCCAGTTTAAAGACTCCCAGGGGGAAAATGTGACTCATTCCAGGGCCAGTGGCCAGCACTGGTTTCAAAGGTGCACCCTGCTCGGGAAGGGGAGGCAAAACCTGGAGGTGCAGTTCAAAGAAGCGATTATTAGGGGCTAGAGCAGTCAGCAAAAACTTCACAGAGGAGGTAACTTTTAACCCTAAGCCATGAAAGGACAGGATGTCATCAGGCAGAAAGCAGAACTCTGCTTGTGTTTGGAGAAGGTGAGGGGACAAGAGTGGAGGGAAGTGGGTGCCCAGTTCAGAGGCTATTCTGGAATACTGGCAAGAGATGATGGTGATCCTGACTAGAGCACTGGTGGTAAGGTAGTAAGAAGCAGATGGATTCAAAAGATCCTTAAAAGGAACACTGGGCAGTTTTATGACTGATGGGACAGAGGCCTTCCTAGGTCTGCTGCCCGGGGAATCTGAAAGGATAGTGGGGTCAGGTCTCTTGAGAACGTAATTCAGGTTCCATCAATCCCTTGCTTCACACTCATTAATGGCTTCCTGTTACACTTAAAATATACTTAAAACTCCTTCCAACACTTTGGCCCTGCTTATCCCTTGAAATCACCTCAACCCTCTTTCTAGCGACATTGCCTGCTTCTCGTTCCTCAAACACAACAAATCTGCCCACCTCAATGCTCTTTTTCATTTGCCTTCATCTGGAACACTCTTCCTCTAGAGCTTCACACAGCTGGCTGCTCTTCGTCATTTGGGCCTCAGCTTTAACTGTCCACTTGGAAGGTCCTCCCTGACATGCCTTCAAGAGTAGCCACACCGGGGCGCCTGGGTGGCTCAGTGGGTTAAAGCCTCTGCCTTCGGCTCAGGTCATGATCCCAGTGTCCTGGGATCGAGCCCCACATCGGGCTCTCTGCTCCGCGGGGAGCCTGCTTCCTCCTCCCTCTCTCTGCCTGCCTCTCTCTGCCTACTTGTGATCTCTTTCTGTCAAATGAATAAATAAAATCTTAAAAAAAAAAAAAAAAGAGTAGCCACACCATGGGGCGCCTGGGTGGCTCAGTGGGTTAAATAAGCCTCTGCTTTTGGCTCAGGTCATGATCTCAGGGTCCTGGGATCAAGCCCCGCATCGGGCTCTCTGCTCAACAGGGAGCCTGCTTCCTCCGCTCTCTCTGCCTACTTGTGATCTCTCTCTCTCTCTCTCTGTCAAACACATAAATAAGTAAAATCTTAAAAAAAAAAAAAAAAGAGTAGCCACACATTACCCCAGGAATCCCAGATCTCATTACTCTGCTTTAATTTCTTCATAGTACCGACTACTATCTGGAACTAATCTTGTTAACTTCTATGGTTGTGGTCTTTCCCCACTAGGACGTACACTCCAAGACAGCATGGATTTTCTTATTTATTATAGTCCCCAGAGCAGTGCCTAGCATGCAGTTGGAGGTATGAATTCACTGACTGATAAATGATGAATGAATGAATGTCCTGAATTTAAGAGTGGAGTCAGGCTCTGAAGTTGGAGCTGGGCTGAGTCTTGACTTTGTTTTGGGGCAAGTTACTCATTCCCAACTTTGTCAGTGAGAGGTGGATAGTAATAATGACCTCAGTGCGGGGGCTACTGTGAGGATTAAACAGGCTCTGCTTGCAAACTGCCCGACACACTTCCTTGCATTTGGTAGTTGCTCAATATTGTTACCATGAGCTGTTCCATAAACCCTTGCTATCTCATTGGCTGGACCGGCACAGAATAAATTGCTAAAGAGCTACAGTGGCCACAGAATGGGCACCGGAATTATGGGAAAGTAGCTCCTCTGGCTTCTCAGACCCTGATCTCAGAACCCCCCCCCCTTTGCCTCTGCCCCAGTTCCTTTCATCTGGTTGGGGAGATGGTCTGGGTTTGACCAGTAACCCACATATCACAGCTATGCCGGAAATCTATAAAGTCCAGAGACAACAGCAGAGCCCTGAGCCTACGGAGGCCACAGAGAAGAAACTCTCCAAGTATTAGTCGGTCTGGAAATCCCATGAAGGCAAGCTCCAAAGCTGCTTTGTGGATTGCTGTCTATTCAGACCAAGTACATAACAGACCCTCAATAACTGTTCATGAAACGAAGGAACGGCGGGAGGGAAGGAGTTACTGACCCTGGAGAGCTCTACCTGGTAAGGTAGACTATCTCAGTGGAAAGAGCCCCACGTAGGCTTCTAAGCCTTTATTTCCTCATCTACAAAATGGGGATGACAGTATCTATTTTCATGAGGTTGACGTAAGGACCAAGGACCGAATGAGATGATGAATATAAGATGTTTAGAGTACGTATCCAACCTTAGCTGCTTTTATTAGCAGCAGGAGCTATTATCTGGCTTTTCATGCAGAATTATCAACATCTCTGAGGGGGTGGACAGAGTTTTGGTTTCAGTTGCCTCCTCTCTGCTCCCCTTTCCAAAGACAGATGACAGTTCCTTGTGCCGCATCTATTCCCAGCTCTGCACCCTAGGTCAGCAATCATCACGATGCACTATGATGGTTCGTTCATCTGTCTTCCCTTCCTGCTGCAGGTTCCACAGAGGGGCTATGGCTTATTTATCTATTGACACATGCACATAGATGCAAACAGAAATGGGGTGCGAACTGCTCCTGGCCCAGGTGACTGGGGATTATGGTGCCCCCATTTCATGTTGCTATCAGCTCTCTGAAGAGCAGAGGGCTCTATGAATGTTTTTCTGAGAACAGGGAAAAACCAGAGATCTTAAAGAAAGAAGACATGTTTCTAGTAAAAACGGTATATTCCCTGACTATCCCTTCCAATTATTCTCACGTAAACATTTTATTTTCTTCACAGCACTAATCACTATCAGAAGTTCTCTTACTAGCTTACTTGTTTACTGTCTATCTCCCTTCACCAGGATTTAAATTCCGTGACAGGGGCGCCGAGGTGGCTCAGTGGGTTAAAGCCTCTGCCTTCAGCTCAGGTCATGATCCCAGGGTCCCGGGACTGAGCCCCACATTGGGCTCTCCGCTCAGCTGGGAGCCTGCTCCCGCCCCCCCTCCCCACCAGCGCCTGCTCTCTGCCTACCTGTGATCTCTATCTGTCAAATAAATAAAATCTTAAAAAAAAAAAAAACAAAACTCCATGACAGTGAGAATCCTATCTGTTTCATCTGTGACTTTATATTGTTATCACTTAGAACTACTCTGGGCACAAAGGAGTCATTCAGCAAATATGTTACAAGAACACTGAATGAATGAATGAATGAATGAACACACTTTCTTAAAATTTTTATTTTTTAAAGGAATCAGACTTGGATGCTTTTAAACGAATGCATAAGCATTTAAAAACAAACAAGTGAAGTATTTTAACATAATACAAAAATTAAGGTCATTTTTGTATCATCAACATATAAGGCCAAAAAATGGTCCCTTCTCCACAACACTTGGCTGCTTATGATACACGGAACAAATTTGTCTCATCAGGTGAGGGGAGATAGTCAAAAGAGAGCATGTTATGGAGTCTGAAGACTGAGTCTGGGACGCTTTTGCTCATTGGCTTGTGAAGCTGACCAAGACCTTTAATGGTACAGAGGAAGCTCAGCTTCATCGTCTCAGAAATCCCTACCTTAGAAAATGACTGTGAAAGAGCTTGGCCAATTGTCCAGCTCTGTGAAGGGTGTTTTTATCAGTTGTCAAGGCTGAAGTAGGAGAGCAAACCAGCTCCCCTGACCCAGGAGCTCCTCCTCCCTAAAAGGCGGCCACACTACAGGAGCACCTGCTCTCTCTCCTGACAAAGGACGAGGCCATGGAAGGAACACTGCTTTGGAAGGTAGATACCCTGAGACCTAAATTCGCTTTGCAACTGAAATAGTGTGTGATCTCCAGCCTCATCACCTACGAGACAAACGGCTGGACTCCCAGATGCCTGGGGGCTTTTTCAATGTTGACATCTCAGGAGGTAGTGTGGTCTCAGCCACACTCCCACTCCCGCCTCTGGACTCATTCTAGCCTATAGGAAGTGATCAGCAAGCTTTCGCTCAATGAATGAAGCACTGAACGAAGATGTCTCCTCAGACCCGGTGAGGGGCCCCTCTTCCGCACGGCCACAGGTCCTGCGCTTCCCAGCCACAGAACCTTTCCCGCCGGTCTACGACTGCCCTGCTCCCTCACTAGACCAGGTGTAACGAGGGCGAGGAGCGTGTCCCCTCCGTCAGCACAAACTGGCACCGCGTAGGTGGCGGGGTTCTGGTGACTGGGCGAGGGGTGCGGGCCGGACCGGAGGGAAGGGCTTGCAGCACGTCGAAACCGGAGGCTGGCCCGCGGCCGCCCGACTCTCCCCGTCCCCGGGCGGAAGCCGGGTAAGACTCACGTGAGCACCGGGATGGGCGTCCACACCACGCAGTAGGGAAAACGGCTCCGGTCCACGTCCATGGTGCTGCCGCCCGAGCCGCTGAAAGGCTTCTTGTCCGTCTCGGCCGCCGTCGGCGCCTCCACTTCCGCCATCCCGGGCGGGGGTGGCGGCGGCGGCAACAGGAGCTGCGAACTCCCTTCCGCTTCCGCCATGCTGCGCGCGCCCCGCTCCGGCCGGCCCCTGCTCCAGCGCCGCTCGCCCGGTGGCGTCACTTCCCGGAGGTGGGGTCCTCCGGCTTCGCCTTCCCCCCGGGAATTGGGGCCGCATCCCTCTGGGCCCGGCCCGCCTGGCCCCCTGCCTCGGCGCCCGTCGGCTCCGTGTGTTTGCGCCCGCACTGCAGCGTTGAGGAGGGGATGCCTTCAAGCGGCGCGCAGTCTAGCGCGAGAGACCGACCGAGAACTTCGTAATTCAGTACGCTGAGGCCTCCCAAGAGGTGTGGTACAGCCGCTGTTTACTGAGCGCTTCCTAGGTGCCAAGCACTTGACATACACTGTTTTTAATCCCCATAGACTGGTTCGACATGCGAATTTAGGTATTTCCCCTAGGTTACATGTGAGAAACTGAGGCCCAAGAGGTGAGGTGAGTGGCCAAGATTCAAACCCAAGTCTGCGTCCCTTGTCCTTTCCATTCTGTGGGCTCTCATGAGGCAGTGGCAGCGGAGAGAGGAAGGTCAGGCTAAAATGCTGTGTGGTGTGCGTGTACGCAGGGGAGGCTTGCCGGGAGGTATCTGAGCTGTCTTGATGTTTGCCAGGTGGCACGGGGGTGGGGGTGCAGGGATGCGTGCAGCCGTGCAAAGCAAGAGGCTTTGCAGAGCGCAGTATGCAGGAGTGTGAATATCACCTTGGTTGGAATAAATCTCAAACCTTACTTAGATGTGATCCGATACCTTCATCGAGCAAATGGAGAAACTGAGGCTCGGGGAAGTTCATTAATTGTCCGAGATCACACACAACCAATATAAAGCAGGCAGGCTTAAATCTTGGATTCTTTGGGTTTTTTAAAGGATGCCAAGATAGCCAAAGAAAAGAATCTGTTGGGATGGGAGGGGAAAATATGGGGACAAGAAGGAAGGCAGCAGCTAAAAATCAGGCTAGGAGGAGGTAGGGACAAAATCAGAAAAATGGGAGCTATGCCTTTTTAGGAACGTCTTTTTCTTCCATTGAATTACCCTTCCTCAACGCTGATCCACAGAAACCCTGCTCTCCTGTTTGTAGCAGTTAATATATATTTTTTAAAGATTTTGTTTATTTATTTATTTATTTATTTATTTGACAGAGATCACAAGTAGGCAGAGAGGCAGGCAGAGAGAGAGCGTGAGGAAAGCAGGCTCCCCGCTGAGCAAATAGCCCGATGTGGGCCTTGATCCCAGGACCCTGGGATCATGACCTGAGCTGAAGGTAGAGGCCTTAACCCACTGAGCCACCCAGGCGCCCAAGCACTTAATATTTTAATGCATTTTGGGGGTATGTCTGTTATGAAATCTAAGTTCCTTGACTTCAGTAGCTATCGTATAGCTCCTAGTACAGAGCAGATGCCCACTAGATGTTTCTTGATTTAATGATTGAACGGATGTTTTATAAAGGCCTTACAGGTATCACAACTGAAAACGATTCTGAGTAGGTTTGTGCCTCTCCTGTGACCCATGTATAGTGCGTTATCTTTGCAGAGCAACACCAGCATCTAGGACAGAGTTTGGCATTGATTAGGTGTGCAGCGTATGTTTGTTGAATGAATAAATTACTTCTTGACTCATCACGATACCTAATCTCTTCCAGATCACAGGCTCTGAGGAAGGTCTTTGCCTTAGATATTCCTCCGTCATCACTGTCAATCCATAATTCTAGCACAGGGCTGGTGGGTGCCCTTTAGTCATTTATTTTATATATATTGATGAATAAACAACCAAAGTTAAGTCTTTCTTAGGGTCTGCCACAATTTGGTAGTACTAACACAAGGACCACCTTTACTCTGCCAGCCTTCAGCGGCTTCTCACTGTACTTAGGATAAAACATAAATATCTCACCATAGCTTACAAGGCCCTTCGTCTTGTCTTTTTTCTTGCTTGTTCACTACACTACCGGCCACCACCGGGCCTTTTTATCAGTTCCTCTCACGTGCAGCACTCTTTCATGTCCCCAGGGACTTGGCTTACATTCCTCTGCTAACTGTTCCCCGCCCCCTTAAAGTGGCTAACTTCTATTTATCCTTCAAGTCTCAGATTAAATGTGGCTTTCTCCAAGAGCCCTTCCCAATCAAAATCAGAAAGCCCGTTAATCTCCCTTGAGACATCCTCTTCCTTTCCTTCATAGCACATTTGTAGCTCTGCATTCTTGGATTCCCCCACTAGGCTGGATACTCCTTGAGAGCAGAGACTATCCTTGTCTTGTTTACTTCTGCAAACCTAGTGCCTAGTAGTGTCGAGTATATATCATCTACTTAATATTTGCAAAAACGAATGAATGGCATACACTTAAAAGCTGGGTATCATCTGTTGGGTACACACAGTCCGAGGGCAGGAACCTAGCTTATCACCTGCTACCTCTTGGTGTCCCAAGCTTTTTAAAGGGGCCCATGGGTGTTGGGGGGCACAGTGCTCAGGAGTAGTGTCTGATCAGAGATCCTTAGCTCCTTGGCCTAGGCAGCTACAGAAGCAGAGGCATGAAGATGGCCAGGTTCCTGGAGAAAGAAGCCAGCTCCTCTGACTTCTCTGGGGCCTCTCCCCCAACCTTCTCCCCCTGCCACCCCTTAGCCTGTCCACATAGCCCCCTCTCATATGCACACTTCACCTGGGTTTTCTCTCCCAATGTAAAAGCCTCCCTAGCCTGTGCCTTGCCTGCTCTGCTGCTGCCACCTCTATCACCCATAGACAGATGGGAAATCTCCATCAAAGACTAACACTTCCTTCCAGGCTCAGAGGATCACAGCAGGGTCCTGGAAGAAGCTCCTCTGACAGCTCAGGAAAGGATTGATAGGACTCATCACTACCCCTCCCCTCAACACACACACCGACCTAAAATAGGAATGACCATCTGGATCCACTTACAGGGCTGGCTGGGGGAGGGAAGGATACGAGAGCCGGAACTGTCAAACTGGGAAATCTTCGAGGGCAAGATGCTGCTTGTTTGAAGGGTGAACTCAGGGCAAGTTCTCTTGGTGGGAGTCTGGGCACCCCATCCATTGGCCCCATCTCTGAGTCCCCAAGGCTCACACACCATCTCCCTCGGACTGTTTCACTCCTCATCCTGGCATTCAAGGCCCCCATGGTCTGGCTCTAAACCCCAGCCTACTTTACAAGCCTCATCTCTCACTCTGTCCCTCGGGATTTGCTCGGAGTTAACCTCCCTGGGCTGTTTGCCCTTCAGAAAATGATTCCTGCACTTCATACCTCATGTCTTTGCTCACACTGTTCCTTCAGTGGAATGCCCTTCCCCTAGTCTCCTATACTACTTTCAAGGTTTCTGGCAAATGTTCCCTCTTTGCTCCCAGAGCACGAAGGCTGCGTTTCTACCTATTGAATATTCATGTGTACTTGCATTAGCATTAGCTGTTTACATGTCTGTCTCCCCTGAGGGACTGTGAACTCCTTGAGAAGGGGTCTGAATGGATCTATTGGTCCCTGTAGCCAAGCACAGCACCCGGAAGATAGGAAGTGCTCAGGGAATGTCATCATTGCTATTTGTTGATCATAGATGGTCTCCTTAAGGGCTCTGGGGAAGAATCACCTCAATCAATAACCCCGGGCAGCAGGGCTGAGCCAGGGGCGGTCACCGCAGCAGGCTGGAGTTGCTGCTGGGCATCATGCAGTGTGCCTGGAGTGTGGAAGGGCAGAGGCCGCTCTTCAGCCTTTTGTTTCTATTTCAGCCTTTCTGTTTCTACTCCGCTCATTACCTTCTCTGGCTCCTGGAGATTGGGATTCTCCCCATTAAGCCCTGAACTATCTTCCAGGATGGCTCCAAACCTTTCCATGGTAGGGAGAGGACCATTTGAGAACAGACACTCTGACCCTTTGGACATTAGAGTTTACAAAATGATTTCCTTCTCTGTTCGGTTTTATAGATGGGCAAACTTGCCCAAGATTATCGAAAGCACAGCTAGGACCAGAAGCTAAGTCTCCTACTTCTGGTGGGCAGTAAAGCAAGACAGTTAAATATGTGAATTCTGGAGTCAGCCAACAAACCCAGTGTTTCCACCTAAGCCCTGTCAGTGGTTGTCCTTTGGAAAGTAACTGAGCCTGTTGCGATTAGTTCCCGCATATCTAAAATGGGAAACGATAATTCACATCTTAGAGAGTTCTTGTAAGGTTTGACCGGCTAGACCTGAACAGTTCCTGGCCCCAAATACACAATGTTAGCTCCTGTAGCAGGGAAAACCACACAACTATAGAACTCTTACTTAAAAAGCACTTTGATGCACATAATCTCACTGTGATTTGGGGCCTTTTACAATGTAGTGAAATAACCAGAGCAGGTATCAAAATACCCATTTTATTGATAGGGAATAGGAGTCCAGAAAGGTTCAGGAGCTTTTCTGAGATCTAAGTACCTATTAGACAGAGTTGGGGTTTTGAGCCTCCTTGACCCTGGCTCTCTCTGCTGATGAGCCGTCTTAGGTCTACTGAAGAGTGATTAAGGCTGAGACCAGCCTGAGATTCTGTAAATCACAAAACAGGTGCAAACTATAGCCTCATTAGGACTAGGCTAGTTTATATATATAAGAAAGAAATGAGAGCAGGAAGCAGAACAAGATAGAATAGAGTACCGCATGCCTGCCATCATGTCCATCAGAATGCTTTCCTCCCACACCACCCTTGCCAGACACAGAGCCTAGCAAATGGTGGGGAACTCCATGGCAGAATGTACAAGGGAGGACTACTGATTCCCAGGGAAATTCAATTCACAGGGACCATGCACAATCCGCATTTCTAGCCACATCTTCCAGATAATGTGGAGGTTCCAGGAGGTCAGGGATTATTCTGCTGTGTGCACTTTTATTAAGCCAGGGCTTGGTACAGAGGAAGAGCTCAAAAAGTGTCACAACATTTAAATAAATGATTTTTAAACACTTGGACTAGGAATCAGAGATTAGGGATCCAGTCCTGGTTTTGTTTCTGAGGTCCTTGCATAGCCCTTCCCTTTTTCCTGCCCCTTTTTGGAACTCCTTGTCTCTCTTCCAAAAATGTGG